TTTATTAAACTTAGCATCTTTTTTACTTTACGAGAGAAATCAAATCTTCTACAGAGGAGGCCGAGGTCTTATTTCACGTAGAATTTTGGAGAAACAGCGAAGTTGGTTGGACAAAACCCCTATTTACTATGTGGTCTACTTCGTTTCCAGCGTTGAAAACAGAGTTTCTGAAATTGTGAGTCACCATGAATGAATGGTCTTGGTAGTCATGATAACTTCCTAGCGCCACTTACCCTGCTCGTTCCATCCGTATCCGTGGGTCCCAGTGTGGCGTCTTCAAACGCTCTTTTGAACCCAGTCTTATCGTTTAAATCCTCGGTAATAGCCTTACGGTTTTCTCTTTAGAGCTTCTTCAACGCCATATAGAGCGCTTCGGCTTCGTTTTCCTCATAGCTTACTGTCGGTATGTAGACAACGCAGATTGTCAAAGCCCGTAGTGATCCATATCTCTTCAACTATAGACGTCGGATTTGAGCTGGTAGTTGTACGAATGAATCGAAATTCATTACCAAACTCGTGTTGACGAAAACTCCAACGCCGTCGACTGTTCTGTCGTCGCATACTCCGAGAAACAGTTTTTCTTCGGTGTCATAGACGACGTTGAATGTGCGGCGTGACTTCTCATCTGACCCAGGGTGATGACGTCGTAACGCACCTTATCCTTTTAGTCTGCGTCATCTCATTTTCAACGAAGAACGCAGATGCAACTGAAGGAGCATTGTAGGCCCTGGTCGTCACCTTGATCCTCCTACATTTAGACCGCTTGAAATCGTCCTGAGATTTCCTCAGTCCATCCGGACTCGTCTTACCCTATGAAGCCGTATCGGGAACTCTTAAGGAGTTAGGGAATGAGGCTCCTTTGTCTTACCGTGTTTCCCATTCGATGCGCACGTAGAGCCTGCGGAGCTCTAAACTTGTGGATTAGATATAGTCACTGGTAACTTTCCACTATCTCCCAGAGGAGACTTATATCGTCTTTGTTGGACGGGACTTCTAACCTCCTCTCATGTACTTCCCGGTCACTCGATTGCAGGCGTTTGGCCAAATTAGCCGGTAAAGTATAATCCGGCAAACGAAAACACACCCATACACGCATGGATAAATACGTCTTCGTAAATACAAAAATTATCTATCAAATGGGCGAAGCAGAGATAAGGACTTCCTCTTCTGGGTTCACCTGCGTCTCAGTGATTCGCAAGTTTGATTTTGGTCCGCGATTAGCCTCTTATCCACGGCCTGGATACGCGGCAAGGTGCTGCGCGACTAAACGGCAGAAGATCCCTTTGTGAGGGAAAGGAGGGAGTGAAGGTTGGCTTCGATATCGTTGAAAACCAATGCTGCTTCATTTTTCCACTTCCTTCTCCTCTTCCTATTCATCTCCACTCATTGAGTGTCAGTGATTTTAGCAATGGACCACTTTACGCGAACGGTTCACCACTAGCGGTCGACCTTCTTCTTCCTACTAGCCTAATACCATGTGAGTAATACTGCAATTATCAGAATGTGCATCTATTTCTTATAGGTTTTAATGATTTACCAAAATTGACCGGTTGCTTTAGCAGTCAAAAGATTGTTAAGACCAGAATTACTACAAAATAAGAACTCTAAAAAAGGAAAGCAGAGGTAGGTGGTTTGTTCTATATTTCGAGTGTTGATAGTCGGCCGTGTTAACAAATTCATGTCGACATAAGCCTATGACTCATACGTGGAATAAAATTTTTGTATTCTTTCTCTGATGAGCTTACACGAGGTTAATAATGATGTTTATTTTCGGCTAACGTTTCGACGTCTTCGTCTTCCTCAGAGCCGATGATCCGAGTCGATGGTCCATGCTTGTTGTTCGTCTCGACGTGGCAGCTTCGCCTTCGTGTCGAGTCAGGTGATCGACTCGGATTATAGGCTCTGAGGAAGATGAAGACGTCGAAACGTTAGCCGAAAATAAACATCATTATCAACCTCGTGTAAGCTCATCAAAGAAAGAATACATATTGATTAGTGATACCGAGGTTCACGGAAAGTCGGTTTCGAAATAAAATTTTTGTTGTCGAACATGAGCCAAATATTCCAATTTACCGTCACGGCTAATTAACTTCCTGCGTAGAGCTCCTTGATGTAGTTTTTGTATTCACACCGTAGCTTATCCAACATATAATATGTATGACGCCGGCCAATTGAAACCATATTCAGCGTTTAATTACATGCAAAATATAAGCCACAATGCAGTGCCTTTTATCTTCTGCCTACTCTTTTTCATAGCAGGGTAGGATGTAAAATATAACCACAACGATGCTGAGGTATTTTCAAAACTCCGGACCACAGATGTTTACGGTGGAAATCGAACCTGCTATTACCTTTCCCGGAGGTTAACGTGTTCACCATCACATCATGCGGGTCCTTCATTCCACCTTTATCACAGCCGTAATTTAGCCTATTCAAAAGGCGTCGTTCAACATTCCGCGCAACGCTCTAGTTCCACTCACCGGATAAGCAAACCCTCTCATAGTGGCAGCGTCTGGAATTTATTACCAGACTTTTCTGGGAAGTTCTCTCCGTTCCGTAATAATGGTGTTTAGCACTGGTGAAGACCTACCTACGTTTTTAAGGTTCTCTCAGCAGAAAGTGCAGAGATCTTCAAAACAATCTGATGTCGCGTCATTAAAAACCACCTTTGCGTTCATAAGCGCTGTTGCCATTGATTTGTCTCTTAAGAAATCCTACTTCGGCAACAATCTATTCCTAGTTATTTATCATTACGGTGATTTTTTTACCACTTCACAGTTCTAGCTTGAACAAAATGAATAAATAAGTTTCTACATTCATGAAAATACTACAAGATTAGGATCTAGCCAGAGGCAATGTTTCCATTAGGGTTACATCAACAAATTTTTGAGGATTAAAAAATAAAAGGATAAAGCTTTCGGCGTTGATCAATCCACGAAAGATGCGCTATGCATTCTTCTTCATTAAGCATCGTTGGAGGTGACTGAATGCATATCTGGCCTTTACAATGTCTCGCGGTGGCCTACCGATGTATCGAGCCAGTGCTGCTATCCTTCCAGACAAGTCCGGTACCAATTTGCCAACCCCGGAGGGATGGAAGGCTTGATGGACCATGGGCGGTGAAATCGATTCCGCGTGTATGCTGCAGAGCGCCTCCGACCACTGCGCCACACGCGCCTTTCTGAGAGTTAGAATCACAAATGAAACTAGCTGTAGGATGACGGTGAACGGAAACGAGAGGGCCAACCACCGCCACTGCTAACGGAGCCATCGTGGTGATCTCCGACTCTCTTTTTATGCAAAGTCCCAGCGAGCACGATTTTCGCTTCCAAATTCTGTTGGATCTCTCGCCTTTGCATCGAGCGTGTGCCACCATCAAAATTTACGCAAACGGCCTTCATCGTTGACTACTTTTTCCACTAGTCAGTTGCTGTAGAAGAGCTCATGCTAAAAAAACGTTCTCTGCTCGAGCCTTGATGCTGTTAATGTGTTAGCATAAACTGCTAAACATGAAAATTTTTTAAAGAACAGAGCAGATTGATTGGCTAAGATAAGTTTTGGAAAAAAAATATCCCGGTATATTACTGTAATACAAAGATTTTCAGTGCACTATGATATAAGCATCAAGACTTATCTACCATTCTACGTTCAATTTCCACCAAGTAAGAATCTGACATTCGATGGTCGGGTGGTGATCACCATGAAAGTTCTTAAGCCGGTTCGGGAAGTCGTTCTTAACATGAAAAACATCACATTGGACCCAGTGAAATGTAGTCTGATTACGGTAAGTCCGTTGCGATAATAAAAAATATTGGCATGGATAGTAAGGTTTACAAAAAGCTGATTTTAAATTAGTGGTAAAGAATTATCTTACTTTTTGAGAAATAATTAGTTGAAAAGTAATTTTCAATTCTTTTTTGAACATGAATTTTCATGAACCGGTTTTTGTCGATTACTTTTGCTATTTTGGGTAGTCCGAGTTTTCACTGTAGAAGCAGGAAAAACTTGTCACCTGCAAAGAATTCTATTCCTATGTCTACCACTTGCTATGAACCGAAAAACTTGTTTGGAAATGAACGAGGAAAGAAAAAGCCCATGCAACTTCTCTTCAGAATGGAAAAACAGTCGAAATCGAACGGGTGATTGAACTTGAAAGACTTGAGAAAGTCAGTTTTGTGTTGTCACGAACACTTGAACGAGAAGAAGAGGTTACGCTTGAGGTTGGTAAACAACATACATACTTGGATACTTACCTGAACAGCTCGTCCTCAATAGTTGTGCGGGTCCCAGCATATTCTCCTATTTTCGGAGTTTTTCTGGTCTAGCAATTGTGTATCTTTGGAGTCTCGAGGTCAGCCTAGCTAAAGTCTGCCCCACAACCACATATATAGCTTCTTATAATTAATGATAAGGAATAAAGCGCTCGGTTTTTATCGATCTTTTTGGAATATGCCGTACATTAAACTTATAGACGTGAATGAATGTATATCGGGGCTGTATAATGATTTAGAAAATTTTCCGACTCAGCAAATCACTTTTCTTTATCCTTCATGACTAATTTGGTACCAATTTTTCAATCTGGGAGGGGCTTTGGACTCGGTAAAGAGGTGGCAATGGATTGCACCAGTGACCACTTCTGCATTGTCGGACACTGCCATGCAAGCGCTAATCAATCTCTTTCTAGTGAGGCTCTCCATAATATAATATAATAATTCCATAACAACTAGCTAGAACTAGCCGAGAGACAGGTGAAACGAAGGACACGCGTGGTGTGGTGGTGAACGCGCTACTGTTAAAATTGTGATTATAGCTGCCGCCTCAGCTTAACTGGGTTCGTTGCCGATTTGGGCCCCCCAGATCAATCCCGCTGACGGGTGATTGCTGTTGGCAAAAGATCGATAGAACTAGCTGAGAGATAGGCGAAACGAAGGACCCGCGTGGTGTGGTGGTGAACGCGCTACTCCCCGGAAAGGACAATAGCGTGTTCGTTCCCGACCGCATACACCTGCGGTCCGGAGTTTTGCAAATATCTCAACATTATTGAAGTTAAATTCCATAACAGTTTTTCTGAAAAAATGCGACAACTTCAGATCGCAGCACGTGTATGCTTCTAACGTATGCAAGCAATCTAAATGAATAAAGAAGGTGTTCAGCACAGGTTTTTTGCCACTTGTTAAGACATTTCTTCATTTTATCTAGGCTGGGTTCCAAGTTTTGTAAATATCTCAGTATTGTAGTGGTTGTATTTCACATTATACTTCACTGTGGACAAATAATGATAGGCGGTAAATAAAAAGTTGACGTTATGACTTCGATTACAGCCTCAGTCTAACTGGGTTTGAAGCAGAGTTGTGCTCCCCAGATGATTCCCGTTGCTGATGGCACCGTTAAATAGAAAACTGGCCGAGAGAAATTCAAAGTACATCAATGGTGCAAGGGTAACACGTGAACACGTGGAAATGGTAGTCGATAGTTCGAATCTGGCCTGGGGTCTAAGCTTTGCGAATATCTCAGCATTGTAGTGGTTGCCTTTCACATCATACACTGCAATGGAGAAGGTAAATAACAATATTGTCGTTATATGTTCATTTTACATTCAATTCCTTTCCTGGAGTTTTCCACAGTCGCCTACAATTTTTATATCCAGGTCACGTATACTGGCCTAATCAGCAATACACTTGGTGGATTGTATCAGGCCACTTACAAGCAAGCAGATGGAGAAATGAAGTGGGTTTTTTCCTCTGTCTCAGTAGTATAAAATGTGCTTTTATTTAGGTTCCGTGCAAAAGGAGGTGTGAAGGAAGATGTGAGAGTATGGGAGACATAAAGGAAAAATGATGTTCAAAGTTAATAGAGAAAAACCAATAGAAATCTTCAATCTTGCTTTATTTTTGCTTTCTCCATCTTTATTTTTTTCATACGCTTATGGTTTTTTTCTTAGAATCGCGGCGGTCACACAATTCGAGCCCATATATGCTCGTCGAATGGTGCCCTGTTTCGACGAGCCACATTACAAGGCGAATTGGACGGTTACTGTGATTCACCCCAAGGGCACACGGGCCATTTCAAACGGGATAGAAACTGATGAAACAGAGTGAATCATTTATATTCTATCATAATAGAAATAAGCAAAGAATGCCGGTGAAGTGAAAGGAAAGCTTAGAAATATTATGAGATTAACAAAAAAAAAACCGGCAGCAAGCTAATATTAACAACGTTGTTTCTACCTGCCTGAATGTATGAATGACAAGGTTTTTGAAATCACAAAGAATCGTTCAGGCGCCGGTAAAACATCAAATTGACTCTCGTTTGCTGGTTTGCTGGTCGATCATTACCTTGCTGCAGACGTGTGCTAGGGCATCTTCAGGTCTTTATAACATGCCAGTCAATGACTATGTAATTGCCGGGGTGGTATAATTCTTGGTGCTGACCTACTCTTAGCAGATCCTCCGGTAGGACGCACCGAACTCCTTCTGGAGTTTCAGTCGGAGATGATCTCCAGCTCTACATCGCAGTTCGAGATCCAGGAACACTTCTCCGCTACGATTAAGTGACAAATCCCCAGAAGAATAACATTACTGAAAATTTACTCGTTTCTTCCTCATTTTTCCTATAAAAGAATTGTACTACACTATTAGTATGTAATGTTTTAAGTTACGGTATTTAAGAAAGAAGCTATAGGTATAGGTATAGGTAAGCACTGGTAAAGCTGCGATATCGATTGAAAGGATCGACGAAATTGGAAATATGCGGCATTCGACACGATGTGAGCATCTGGGCTTTGAAAAGCTATTAAAAAATGGAAAACAACATGAAAATTTCACAGATGGTGAATAGAAGGCGTTAGCTAAACGGAAGCAGAGACTGGAAAGAGTTAGGCAATATTTGCTTTCATTTAGTAACAACGTCTTTGAAATTTGCTTTGACTTCGGATTTTAATAGAAACCAGGATGGTTTCCAGGGAAGCAGGCAGTGGTTGGAAAGTGTCAAAATTCTCCACCACTCCACGAATGTCCTCTTATCTGCTCGCTGTTCTGGTCTCCGAATTCGACTACATTGAGAAGTACACAAAAACTGGTGTGATGGTAAGAAGCCAGTTTTTTGTTTATGTGTGGACTGTAGGATGTTCTTTTTAAAATGATCCGTCATCTTTCCCTATACGGGTTCCAGCAGTTGAACTCTCCGTGAAGGCTCCCATCTAAGAGTTTTCTCAAAGAAATTTGGTACCAATTTGCTCACTTTTAAGGGATAGAAGACTTGAATGACCCAAAACAAGCTCGAACCAGAAATCATGCGTGGGTTGTGCGGCTTCGACCACCTCTCGCTTCCTGCGCTCACAAAAAGTTTCTGTAGAAGTTGATTGAGCAGTCATGTTTTAATGATGATCGATTGGAGTATAATTTTGCCTCGTAATTAGTGAAGTGAATGGATAAAATTCTCACTTCTATTTCACCTTTGGCTTTTGCACTTCACGTGACTCGTTTAGTTTCGAGTATGGTCGCGTCCTGAGGCGAAAAATATGACACAGTATGCCTTGGATAGTGGGGTACGGTGTCTCGAATTCTACGAGGACTACTTTGGTATTAAGTATCCCCTCAAAAAACAAGGTAAGCTAGCTGCACACATTGTCAAAAAGACAAAAAGTTTTCCAAAAGTTAGCGGTTGATAGTTTATTTACCACTCAAATTGCCCACTCTAAGCACTTCTTGCTAGAGTATTAAGAAACCTGTCAGCGGAACCTATGAGTTTCGCACGTGATCTCAAATTTTTGAAAACTCGTCCGTTGAGTTCACTTCTCAAGGCTGCTAGATACTTTTTATCGAACAAGAAGGAAAACTTCGTTACCTGTTGTTTAACCTTTCCAAATCTATTCGTGATCAGCAAATCGTTTGAGTTTTATGCAGATTAGAATAATGCTCTCCAATATTTTCAGATATGGTGGCGTTACCTGATTTTTCTTATGGGGCAATGGAAAATTGGGGTCTGATTACATACAGGTATAGAAATTTAAAAGTTAAGATCACTCACATTTACTGGTTCCAACCCGCCGAAGCTAATCCTTCGGCATCAACAAATTAGTGCCAAAATTATTTGAAAGGGGCTAGGCTAGATTTACATTGACTATCCAGCAAATGCTGTGGTGAATCTCTGGAAGCGCTCTGGTATAATCGTCTCAGGATTCGAAAGAAAAAGTCGATTAACACTCAACGACTTACATGAAGCAGGAAAAATTTTCAGTTGGTAATTGCATCCAAAATGAGGTTCGAAGACCTTTGTGGATGACAGGTAGAAGACGAAGAGAAGAAGTGTATGAATCCGGGTGAGATACGTTGTGGAGTAATGTAAATAAATAAATAACCAATGAGAACCTTTCCTGTTCTGCAAAAGTATTACCAGAAAAGCATAAGTTCCTCTTCAGTTTCTTAATACCCAATCACCGTCTGTACTGGAAAGCTACGGATATCGTAGCACCGTTATTTTGGGATTTCTAGAAAAACTACGGTTGTCCAGCACTTAACATATCGGTCAAGAAAGTCGTTGAGACGGATCTTCTCTAAAAAGAATAGAATGACAAAAATGATGCACACAGTGCAGCATGTATTTTCTAATTTCTGAGTTCATTAGTACCTATTTGAAATAAACACAATACCTGCATATATTTTTAAAGCGGTGAATATTTTTAAAAAGGTCAGAAATTTTAAATTAACTAGTTATTTAATTGAGGCTGTCAATTAACAATGAGTTCAGCAAATATCAACTTAGAAATCGTCTTTCATGGTTACATTTTCATATTGGTTTCAACAACAAGGCTTTGATATGCCATAAAAGGAGAAAAGGCAAAGCTCTCGGCGTTGATCATTCCCTGAGGGATTCGAAATGCTTTCAACTTCATTAAGCATCGTTAGAGGTGGTTTAATGCATATCTGGCCTACATAATGACTCGCGGTGGCCTACGGATGTATCGAATACATACTGCTATCCTTCCAGGCAGGTCTGGTAGCAATTTGCCAACCCCGGACGGGAGGAAGGCTTTGTGAGCACAGGGCACAGGATCGATCACATGTGTATTGCAGAGCGCCTCTAACCACTGCTCTACACGCACCTCTCATATGCTGTGTTTTCTGCCAAGCTTATTCGATTATGTAGTGCCGGGTTACAACACTCTTGTATTACGCAATCAGGCTTGCCCCTTTACGAGTAAGAGGCTTAGTCACATAGCCCAAGCAATATAGTGGATGGAGCGAAAAACTTCTTGCTGATATCTATTACGTTCAACTCACATCTACAGAAATACACAGCTTTTCATACATCAGTCCAAATTCAAGTTACATGAAATGAGTCACACAGCAAAGTCGAAGAAGCCGCAAAGAGTCTGAAATTTCAATGAAGCCTATTTGTGAATAAGCAAACCTCTCAACAGATCTCAACGAATCACCTGGCAGTAAAAAATACAGCGCGCAAGAAGGGTGATGACGCTTGTGTTCCCTGAGCGAGAAAGACACGCTGGGCAATTAATGGTACTCAACGATGACGATTGAAGATTGTTGGTCCCAACTCGAGTATGAGAGACTTGCTCGATGTTTGACAGGATAGCAGGTGATACAGTTGATAAAGCGAATGCAGCAGGAAAAGAAACTAGAGAAACTTATTTCGTGAATTTGCTTTATAGGCTTGCTTTCGCTTTCTGCTCAAAAGTGTTTTTGAGTATCCTGGCTTCGAAACCTTGTCACCTAATATCGAATGGAAGTTCTAGTGATCTACACAAAGAAAACGGAGGCAATTATATGGTCGAAGGGACGTGTTTAGTAAGCAGTCCTGAGAGAAACTTTCGACCAAGTTAGATTGACTGGTAGATTCAAGTTCTAATCGTTCTAGGGTCAATTGCTTGTAGTCTGCCCATAGCTGGATACTCGTCATCTAGTGGAGGCGTCATAGCGCCATGAGAAAGTTACTTTTTTTCTCGAGTTGTTTTCTCTCTTTTCACTCAATTCATCAAATTTTATCCGCCACTCACAAATTTCCGTGTTGATCTGGCTACCACTTTAATATACTGTCTTCTTCGTGAGCACCAATGAATGCTGGCCCTAGTGCCCTTCTCCCCGAAATTTCGACATAGCTCTACAAAAGCGTTCCCGGGTCTTCGCCACAAGTCGTCACGAGTATTGGTGGATTGAAACGAAACTTTCTGAGACAACTGTGGTATTAACTTGTCGAGATCGATTTGTGGTTAAATGTCTTGAGGTGCAATCGAACTAAAGGCCGTTGATGTATATGGCGCATCAGCTCTGACTACTACGCTTCCCGCACCGCTGATCAATAACATGGCTCATATTTTCCAGGGAAAGCGCGCTACTGTATGATGAAAACCTTTACGGTCCATTGAATAAAGAGCGAGTTGCGGTGGTCGTTGCTCATGAACTCGCACATCAGGTGAGACGATTACTTTTTTTTATTCATTTTTATTTTGCAGTGCATAGAGGGGAATTTAACATTTATACGTAGGCGAAGCCTGTTGGATGGTCTGTGGAGATTAGCTTATCGACCTGAAAAGACTACCTAGTAACCCATAATTTTAAAAAATTGGTGTGGCTTCTCTTGATACATATCGCATGAAGATCCTTTCTCTGTAACCTACCGTAATTTCTCGAGAACCAGAAATTTTGATGAGTTCAGAATTTGATTATTTTATAAAAGAAATTTTGCCTTATAATGGTAGTCGTGCATCTAATTCTTATAAAATATTCCCCAATTTTAAACACGAAATTCCGATTTTTGAAAGTTCCAAGTTCATGCGCTACATGCGCGGAAACCAATGATTCGTTGGGGAACTCGATCATATCCTGCTGGCCGAAATTGCAGTTACTCCGCTGTTTTTATGCACGAAATACAAGCTTTGACGCGGAGTAGTGAAGCCAATGGCTTTCTGGGCTCTAGAGAATCAGAGTCAAAGTTACAAAATTAGAACTTCACACTGTGAGGATAAGCAAACTGGTTTTTAGTTAAGACAGGCCCGTATATTCAAATGGTTGAGCCAGGTTTATTTGAAACTGAAGGCGTCCGTTATTTTCGCATCGAATGTATTGTGCCCGATGCAATTTTAGGCGTTATGTATTGATATGAGGCATGAACTGAACAATCCATCTACCCATCTGTGTATCTTCTCAAATGCTAATTTTTCTTTATTGAAATATTGTAAGATGACGTTGCAACTAACTAAAATAACCATTTATATTCTACCAGCGATTTCATAGCTGAAATATGGGAATAATGGAGCATCTACTGAATGACATTGATGGACGTAATCTACTTTATCTCTCCACTTTTGATAGTAAACTTGATCCTAAAGGTTTTTGCTACTTCAGTGGTTTGGCAATTTGGTGACGATGCAATGGTGGGATGACTTGTGGTTGAACGAAGGTTTCGCCACGATGGTTGAATATTTTGGAGCCGATGAGATCAGTAATGGTCACATGAGAATGGTACGGTAAATTTTGAATATTTCTCTTAAAAATTACCTTAGTTTTTTGTATTTTTGAAACATTTCTATAGCTCTAATATTTCATCACTTTACTGAGCTACGGTGCTGGTAACAGTATTAGTAGAAGCGAAAATAAAAATTTTAATTATCTTTCTACTTCTGTTCAGCAAGCACGAGGTGCTATTTTGTTTCTTTATTTACGCACAAGCTGACGTTTCGGCGGATTTCGCCTTCCTCAGAGCCTGGAAGGGTCAAGTTGACAGCAATCCACTCGGCCAAACACCTCCATAACCAAACAGGGAAAACGCTAAACCAAGATTTCAATCACATTTAGCATAGCTCTGCACACTCACCGCTTTCTATGAGTCTTCCACTGAGTATATCGCGTGAAAACCGACCGCACAGAATTCACATGGAAGCGTAATGCGCCCCTCCCATCAGAATAACAGGTTTATATACTGTCCAATATCACGCGTGATAACAAGACATTCCTCGCTGCGGTTCATTTCCGGTTTCTTGGAATTTATCCAGAATGCCTCTAGAGTTTTGCGCGCTTGTGTTAAACGTTAATTATGTTGAATGTACCAACGGTTTACTGCCTAATCGTGGGTGGGAGGTGTTCCTGGGTGTTGGACTGCGATGTGCAGCAGGGGAATTCGTTTCACCGGCAGGGTCTCCCAAGCTGAGAAAGAGTCCGGCGTTTCCATCAGAAAGCTTTGATAAGAGTAAACCAATACCAGGATCCACCACGGTCGTGGTATCAAAGCGGCATGGTGGCAAATCTCACTGTGCTCCACAAGGGCTGCGAATATCCGTGGTGGTGAAGACCTGGGACAAACTTTGGCCAGGCTGACCACGGGATTCCGGGGAACCACAGTGGCTTAACCAGCAAATCTACGAAAAATGGTAATTATGCTAGGGCCCGCACAAGAGCGAGAACGGGCCGTTCAAGTATCAAGTAGGTTGTAATCATGTTAAAAATACTAATGTTAGCAAAATTAACGAAAATTAGAAAATAGTCTCGAGTAAGACATAGTGTAGTTTTTGTTCAGTTAAGCTATACTGACGGAAGTGTGTATAAAGGCAAAAGCACGTGCAGTGCAGTGGCAAGAGGTTCCCTAAAATACACACAAGATTGTTAACTTGATCCTCTAGCAAATCAAAGCCTCTGTCCTTTCGAGCTTAGAAAATTGGCATCAGATTGTTTAATACCATTAGGAAACTAAGTTGGTATATAGTAGGTCAAATAGGCCCAATTCAGCTATAAGAAGTCACTATTGGAGGTGACTGGGTGGCTCGTCCCTAAGGGACTAATCGACGCTCAGCGTGTTATTTTTTATAATGGGGAACAACTCAGCATAATCCTACAGTCTGGCGTCCCACCTATCTGACGGTGAAAAAAAAACTTTTTAAAAGAGCGAAAGGATAGAACACCTATCTCCTATCGATTTTGAAGTGGATTATAAAATATATGAAACTCAGACGTGGAGACAGTTTCTTAGAAATTTTATGAACGCCGTTAAGTAATTCTTCACTACAGTCGTAATTTATTGATGTACCTGTTTAAGTACTTACAAGTACGCAAATATTAAATTATATCTCACATACAATCCTTGGCGTGCTGACCCAAGGTTGTTATCGCTTGTTCTTTGACTGAAATGGCCGTCATCTCGGTGATTTCGTCTCCTTTAGAGCCTAAGACATATTGTAGCAACCACAGGATAACTCGGAAGAGGTTAATCGTAAAACGTAATTGAATTACTAATGCTAAGGTTTATTGAAAGTTGTTCTTTCAAACTTTGAAAACATTGTTTTAAAAAGTTGTTAGCGTTTAAAAATGGCAATATTTGAAACAAGTTTCAGAAGGACTACTTTCTTCTGGATGGTTTCACAAACGGTTTGCTCGCCGATTCAGTTGCTTCAAGCCATCCATTGTCGTTCAAAATTGACAAGGCCTCTGAGGTCCTAGAGGCGTTTGACCAAATTTCGTACGGAAAAGGCGGTTCACTACTCGTCATGCTGTCCGCCTTGATTGGTGAAGAGAGTTTCAAGAAAAGTGTCACGGTAAGTCAGAAAAAAGTAAACGGAAACATGGCTGAAAATGGAGTATACACAACACCTCAGTCATCTATTTTCCTATAGCTCGTCGATTGTAATTGTCGACGTGCCAACAAAATCTGTACTTATCCTCGGCCCAGAGTTAATCGCAGATGTGTTCCTACCGACGACATGGTGATCTATATCTCCACGTATGACAGGTTCACTATCACTGTGTACCAAAATTCGGTGAACCTAGTCCTTCTCGAAAGCCTGTATCACCTGCAGTCCCGTTGATCGTCGAGTGGCTAGAGCGGGCGCCAGTAAATTTTCCATTTTTCCCTGTCGCGTACATGAGTAACCCAGTGGGTTCTGTTCGCTCTAAGGACTCGTTGAGCATCATATCTTTCTTCTAAACTTTTCGTGAAAAACTCTGACCATTGGGTAGGTGGTTTTCCTGCACTACGTTTGACATCCCGAGGAATCCAGTCACTAACGGCTCTTGTCCATCGGTTGCCGTTCATACTCATTACGTGTCCGGCCCACCTTATCTTCGATTGTTTGGCGTATGATACGGCATCTTTGATTTTTGATCGATGACGCAGATCGGGGATTCAGACCCATCCCTTACTTGTGTGGAACGGGATACTCCTGGCGTCCTTTCAACTGCGCGTTCGATAACGCTAAGTGACCTCTCATTCTGCCTACGCAGGGATCAGGTTTCTGACGCACACGTTAGCGCAGGAAGCACCGTTGAGTCGAAAAGGTCGGCACGGAGTCGGGTGTTCTTTGCTCTCTTCACTACATCCTGGATGCTCTTGAAAGCTCTCCAAGCCACTCGTTTCCTTCTGCTCAGCTCTGGAGCTAGGTCGTTCATCATATTGATTTCCCGACCTAGATAGATATAACTGGATCATTCGAAGATTTTCGTTCCGTTGAGTGTGAATGGGGCATGCAAAACCAAACCGCTTTTTATGAATATCGTTTTTGTGAGATTTAGTCCAAGACCAATCTTTCCACCGGCTTTATCAAAGTCATCAAGCATACGTTTCGCCTGGCTAATGTTTGGTGTTATAAGGACGATGTCATCAGCAAAGCGAAGATGGTGTAACTGCCAACCATCGATTTTCACTCCCATATTATCCTATTCCATTGTTCGCATAACGTTCTGGAGGGTGGAGGTAAATAATTTTGGCAAAATGGTACCGCCTTGCCTAACTCCTCATTTGACGTCAATGTTAATATGGTTGTAAAATAGTTATACCTTGGTTGTGAAATTTTTGTACAGCTCAAGAAGAATCTTTATGTACTTAGCAGAGCTCCTTGACTGTCAAGGGCTTTCAAAACTGCTTCTATCTCAACTGAATCAAGGACCTTCTGTAAATCGATGAAAATGAGACAAAGTGCTTTATACTTGAGCCGTGTTACCGTGTGGATGTGGTCCGTTGTACTAAATCCTTTTCGAAACCCTGCTTGCTCGCATGGCTGTCCGTCGTCCAGTGTTCTGTCAATCTTAGGATGACCCGGTGAAAAGTTTGTAGACTACAGACAGTAAGCAGATTGGGCGATAGTTGCCGATATCGTGTAGGCCGCCCTTTTTGAACTATAACACGGTCTTACTGGTCTTCCACTGAGTAAGGACGTTGCATTCAGACAGGTAACGTGTGAAGAGCCGAGCCAGTGTGCTTACGAGGGCTAGCGGAAGGTTCTTCAGGTGTTCTGGTTTTATCCTGTCCGAACCTGATGCTGTTCGATTTTCCACCGACGAAATGACATTAACCCCCCGATTTGGCGATTAACCCCCCATCCGCCGCCTGGGGACGCGCCATGTAGCCTCGCTGGTAACCGGCTCGAAATCCCTCACAGGAGGGAGGTCCGTGGTCTCGAAAGCAATATGAATAATTTAAGCTCGTTTTCGCGTCTCTCATATCGAATATACTGGTGCAACGTGAGGCGTCTAAACAGCTGAAGCGATTCGTCAATGAGTTGGAGCTTTCCAGGCTTTTGTTTTATATTCTCCTAAAATTCACTTCTTATTTCATATACCAGAGTTGTTCAGTCGACGACGTTTGCTCGAGAAATACAGAGTTTTTGTTATTATCCAGAATCTTCATAAAGTACTAGATCCATTGACGCATGATTCTGCATCCTTATACGTTGGAAAACAGTCGCTTAGGGCATTTGCCCAACGGTTGTCGCTATCGCTAGGACGAACGGCCCATTTGATTCTCGGCATTTAATAATGGCATCTCCCATGACCGACTTTCTATTAACCTCGGCAATGATCAAATAACATTTCCTTCCTTCCACCATTGACAGCATAAATATCGAGATGCTTCTTCCACGTAAGTCATAATTAATGCTTAAAACATCGCTCTCTTAACAAAGTATAGAATAGTTCTCGATATTCTCGCTGAGCAAACATGAGGTGTTAGTTCATTCTTTATTCCATTAAAGCTGACGTTTCGGCAATATCCCTTTCTTTAAAGCCTGGAAAGGGTATTATAGTAGAGTGTCAATATATAGGGTATTAGGTATATACCTCCCAACGGTTTTTCGCCCTATTGTGGCTGGGAGGCGTTCCTGAGTGTTGGGCTGCGATGCTGCACAGAGTGGGAATCATCCCTCCGGCAGGGTCTTCCAAGCTGAGATGGAGCCCCGCGCCTCCATCAGGAAGCTTGGCTAAGAGTAAAGCAATAGCATGATCAACCACCTTCCTGGTATCAAACTAGTCGCATGGTGGCAAATCTCCCTCTGATACACAAAATAGGCTGCCTGCGGTGGCGACGACCTGGGGCAGGCTTTAACCAGGCTAACCTCTTGACTCCGGGGAAACAATGTCTAACCCAGCAAAACTCCGAAAATTGGAGGATATGCTTCAGCCAGCACAACCACTGAAGACGGGCAGCCTAAGTATTCAGGTACATATATATATATAGTATTCAGGTACATATATATATATATATATATATATATAAAACCACAACGTTGCTGAGATATTTGCAAAACTCTGGACCGCAGGTGTCTATGGTGGGGATTGAACGCGCTATTGTCCTTTCCGGTGAGTAACGCGTTTACCACCACCACACGGGGTCTTTCGTTGCGGGATCAATCCCGATGACGAGTGATTGTTGTGGCAGAGATCGATAGAAATAGCTGAGAGACAGGCGAAACGAAGGACCCGCNATATATATATATATATATATATATATATATATTGCCACAGCAATCGCCTCAGCTTAACTGGGTTCTATGCCGATTTGGGCTCCCCAGATCAACCCCGCTGACGGGTGATTG